ACAAATAAAACACAAGTATACACCAGTAAAACTCATGTATACTGTACCAAGAATAAACCCATGTCAAAAGACCAACTGTTCACATTCTAACCAAAATTATAAACAATAAATTATAAATTTATCAATTATAAACCAACCTGAATATCTAAATATTCCAGAGTATCTATCTAGAGTGTGGTTTACTTCATGTAAAGCCAAGAGATTAATGTTGAATCCTAGATAATGCCAAATCATCCAACTCATGAGGCAATGTTGCAATTTTACATTAGGTTTGCTGTCAAGCCTAAGCAGGATTACCATATACTCTATCCCAGCATGGGGGCACCATGTACTCTCTATAAACCACAGCATGAGGGCACCGTGTACTCTCTATAAACCACAGCATGGGGGGCACCATGTACTCTCAACCCCAGCTTGGGGAGCACCATGCACCCTCTTGTGCCCCAGTATGGGGGCAACATGTATTCTCTCTCTCAACTACAGCATGGGGGGGCGCACCTTGTACTCTCTCAACTACAGCATGGAGGCACTATATACTCTCTCAACCACACCAGACTAGTCCCAGAGCTGAGAGGTGTGAGTTACAAGGAAAGGCTATGGGAATTAAACATCACATCCCTGGAAGACAGAAGAGTTAGGGGAGACATGATAACCTCCTACAAAATTCTCAAGAGGAATTAACATAGTGTATTAAGGACGGTCAGAACGAGAACAAGGTGACAAATGCAGAAACTGAGTACCCAAATGAGCCATAGGGAAATTAGAAAGACCTTTGTTCAATGTCAGGGATAGATAGGGTATAGATAGATAGGTAGATAGATAGGCAACGAGTATGTAAAGAATAAGAGGAACGTCGAGACAGGAAGGAGAGACGAAGGGAATACAAAAAAAAAAAAAGGCGAAAGAGAATCGAAAGAAAACAACGAGAATGGAAGAGTACCAATGAGTCCGAGAAGGGAGTAGAGGGAACCACACCGGAAGTCAACAGACGTTCCAATAATATCAGAAGAATCAAAGAGCGTCGCAAACCCTTGAGAATCTTACGGAGGCACATACAGGCCCAAAGACACCCTTGACCAAGGGACATGCAGGGAACCCGATATGAAGGGAACATCATCGCACAAAAATAAGGAAAGGGGTGAAAGCGCCTCCAGGAACGACGGAACTGACGGAACCAATGGACCCGAAGGACACGGAACCGAACCCGGGGAAGGGCAGACCCAAAACCAACAGGAATGCAGAGGGGGAAGGAACAAACCCCCTCAGAGCAACTGCCAGCCCCGCTTCTAGGAGACAAAAACCCCAAGCGGGGGCCAAACGGGACTGAGGCCCCCCAGGCAACCCTTCCCCAATCACAGGAACCTCAACGGCATGACCCGGGGCTGAACCGTCCTCCACAAGCCACGGTCTCAAGAAAAATCCGGGGCAGCCGTAAAACTCTAAGGAAGGGAGTCCACTGGTCAGACCCTTACGCACGGCTAGAGGAACAGGCTCGAAGGCCTCCGCCGCCATCCCGGAAGAAAACCCCCGAGAAACCCCAAGTCTCAAACACCAAACAACCCCGCCCCGACACAGAAACCACAGACGTGTCCGAGCTGGAAGCAAGGAGGAGGAACCAAATGCACAACCGAAGGGAAAGGACCAGGAGGGGCGGACGGAACCAGAGCTGAAGTGACCCCCACCCCGAAGTCCAGGTCCCTATCACCAAAACGGGGCAGTCTCGGGGCATCCAGGGCTGCAATCAACCAAGCGCGTTGCAGCACCCTAAACTCAGCCTGCAACGTGGCTGCTGCCTGTACCCGCACATCAGAATGAGTGGCATGGGAAATCTGAAGTACGAACAGACAATCAACGTCACACGACTCCGGGTCAAGGAACCACCAACCTAACAGGCAGCATGGCGGAGGCAAAACCAGTGAATGTTACCCTGAGACAAGGGAAAAGAGCAACCATCAAACTTGTAGGAAGCGAGAGGGGACTCAAGGTCACCTCCATCAGACCACAGAGCCCCTGTGGGGATTTCCAGGGCTCTTAGCCTTGTGTACATGCTAAGGGAAGCCCAGGCAGGGTACTGTAAACCGGCGCCCAAGTCTACAAACTGCTAAAAGCTAAACCCCCGGGACATGTACATTCACAGGGGCCAAGCGGGAGACTCCACCAAGCAAAGAGAAGAACAGGGAGACCCTCCCACCAGGCAGAAAACAAAAACAGAAGAAAAACCCCGCAAGAGGACAACGTATCCAGACAGAACAGAGCCGGCCACTATAATTGTAGAAGACAAGCTGTGCAGTACCCCGTGCAGCTACCAGTGACGAAAACAACCTCCTACCCAGAGACAAACTAGGGCAAAAAGCCCCAGCTGATCCCAAGGGCGGCTCAGTTCCGAGCAGTAAAAGACACAGCAGAGGTAGATCCCAAGGTGATTTGTGGAAGGAGGCCCTAAGCCCCCAAGTGTAGTACTCACAGGGCACCTAGGGAAGGAAACCCTAGGCGCATGCAGCCCGAGTACCGTGGAATATCACCCCTGGCCTCACACACCACCTGTAGAGACAGCCCAGACCACAAGGCACAGAACTGAAACAAAAGTGGAGCCAGAGGCACCCGACTGGCCAGTAAACTCATCAGTCAAGAACTGCCAGTTGGATAGCTGGCACGGAGGGTCTGGGGCTCCCCCTTTACCCTCCCGAGGAGGGGGGGGGGGGGTTGCGCAGACGGCGGCGCAGCGACGTGATGACATCATGCTAGTTTGCTAATTTTGTTTGGGGAGTTCTGTCCACTCCCTCGGCTTTCGGTAGCAATCTTTTCACCAGAATAGGGGTTTGTTATGGGGTGCCTACCTTTCTGGGTGCCTGTCCTGGTCGATGGCAGACATAGAATGCTCCCAACCTCCCTCAAGGGGGTTTCTATAGGTCATTGCTCCCTGTGCCTCTCTGAGGGGGCCAGGTTCTGTCTCGTGGTCCCCGGTAGGCAAGAACTACAAGCACTTTGACTGATGCCAGAAAGTTATACATATCCATTCAGCCTGGATAGCTCCGGGAAACCATAGGGGCTCCTCCCAGAAAAAATAGTAAAACTCTCAGAACGAGATTTCTCGGTTGGCGCAGCACAGTGGTTAAGGGTTAAACTAACTAAACAAAGCTGCTGAAGAAATATAAAAAAATTCACTTTTGCAAAGAGAGTGGTAGATGGTTGGAACAAGTTATGTGAGAAGGTGGTAGAGGCCAAAACCATCAGTAATTTGAAAGTGTTATATGACAGAGTGCTGCGAAGACGGGACACCATAAGCGTAGCTCTCATCCTGTAACTACAATTAGGTAATTACACTTAGGTGTGGGTCTAGTGATGAGGAAGATGAGCAATGCAGCCACTCCAACAGTTGAAATTTCCTTGGATGATGACACGTACACCATGAAGACTATCACCACCTTCAAGACAACAGAAAAAAAGTTCAAGCTTGGTGAAGAGTTTGAAGAGACTACTGCTGATGGCCAAACTGTGAAGTCGACCATCACTCTTGAAGGTAACAAAATGATTCATAATCAGAAGGATGACGAAAAGAAAAAGGAGAAGAGCTCATTTCTCATCCGTGAGTTTATGGATACTAAAAATGCTTATGGAATGTAAAGTAGATGACATTGTGCACAAGAGGGTTATATCTTGAGATAGATGATTTCGAGGCTTAGCGTCCCTGTGGCCCGGTCCTCGACCAGGCCTGCTTTTTGTTACACATCCCTGGGAAGCAGCCCGTATCAGCTGTAACTCCCAGGTACCTATTTACTACTAGGTGAACATACACATCAGGGTGAAAAACTCTGCCCATTTGTTTCCACTTCCACCAGGGATCGAACCCGGAACCTTAGGACTATGAATACCGAGCACTGTCCACTCAGCCGTCAGGTCCCCCAGGGTCTACAAACATCTGGATTAAGTGACTTGGAATATTGACCTGGACACCTTCAGAAAAAGCAATGTTTTATTTATTTATTTATTTATTTATTTATTTATTTATTTATTTATTTAAGGTGGCGTTATAATTGTTTGGCCGAAAAAATTCGGCCAAACACGAAAAATTTATAAAAATACTACAACGTTCTGGCAACACCGTGGTGCAAACCGTTTAATGTTATGATAATAAATAACGTAATTAGAGCAAATTTTCCAGCCGCAATTGCCCGAAATCTGGTCCTCGCGGCTCGGGTGCGCCGTAGGGTGATGCGTCATACGTTGTAAGCGTCTAGTATTTCGCAATAGAGTGGAGAATATCTTGTTATGCATATACAAATTATAAACACACTCGCTGGCAACTGTCTTCTGTGAGAGGGAGGGGCTATAATCCGATTACTCTGGCTTAGTCACCCTCTCAGTGTCTGTGCCGGCGGTCGCATGCCTGACGCGCTCGCACAGATCGTATTTTCTTGCATATACTGCACAATGGATATAGTATCGGACAAGAAGAAAGCTCTAAAGGCAAGAGCTCTACGCGTTAGCCAAGTAAAGAAGGAGCGTAAAGCCACACTGAGGCAAAACAAGAGTTCCCTTGAGTGAAGAGAGAGGGCAGCCTCCCGCCCCCACAACACACTACCTCGCCTCACACCCAGGCACCCACACCTCCTGTGGCACCTGCCACACCTCTGTGGCACCTGCCACACCTCCTGCTGCACCTGCCACACCACCTGCGGCACCTGCCACACCACCTGCGGCACCTGCCACTCAAGATCTTAGACCTGCAACTCAAGACGTTCTCCCTCTTGATGTTGCAAGATGTTGCATATTTCAGACCAATTATATTAGGTTAGTATGTATTATGTTTTATATCTTGATACTATATCATAAATAATTGTAAATATAAAGCTGCTGTCTTTTTTTTTATTTTTTTTTATTTTTTTTTTTTATTTTTTTTTTTTAATAATTTTTTTTTTTTTTTTTTATCAGGCGATCTTCATGGAACTTACACACCTTACTGAAGGAATGCCAATCTACAAGGGTGGTAATTTTGATTGAAATTGGTAGTTCATCAACCTCAGCCAAAGGTGGCTGAACTTTGACCTTCATTTTTTACAGGTAACTAATTTGCAACTATATGGTTGAATAACTTTTTTATTTATTATTCAATTTACATGGAACTTGCACATTATATGTAGAGTCTGTGCCTCTAAAAACTCAAGTTATATTTTTCCCCTAAGATCATTTATTGATTTTATATATATTTATAAACATCATTTTGTTGCATAATTTTTTGGGTGAACTTTGAAAATTTGTATTATTGCACTAAATAGGTTTGGGATAATAATGCCACTAGACAACCTTTATTATATAGTATTGTGATAGCTGAGTATCATAGAAATAATATCAGTTGATATTTGTATTTGTTATATCAACTTTAAAACATGTAAAAAAATGGTTAAAAAAAGTTTTTTTTTTTTTTCTCCCTCTCTATTTAGGCTGCGATGCTGAAACTTGGACCACTTGCAGCGCTCTTCACGTGTAACACGTCAATAAATTTTCATTGCACTAGAACAACTTTTATGAACCCTAACTATCGCCCCCTTAAGAGTTGTTACATTTTTGTACACTAGTACACGTAGCGTTTCGGGCAAGTATTTAATCCTATGTTCCCCGGAATGTGACCTCGCTGAATCGTTTAACAACCAGGTACCCATTTTACTGTTGGGTTAAACAGAGGCTACAGTTAAGGACTGATGCCCAGTAAATCCTCCCCGGCACAGATACGAAGCCAGGACAAAGCGCTCGTGAAACACCAGGCGAGCGTCTAAACCACTACACCACGGGAACTGTTTTACTTCTTGGTGTACTGAAAGTTGGAAAGCTTGTGTAACAATATTGCTATGAAAGTATAATCTCTGGCTGTCTTAAATATGTGATCTTCATCAAGGATACATGCATATTAATCTGCATATTTTGCTGCATTTTTTTAATGGCCTCCATTACATCTTGAAATAATCAACTTGATAAAAGATCTTATGGAAAAAATATAATGCATTACAGGACCAACAATTTTATACCAAACTGAATTTAAATTCTGTACAATAAAGTACAGTATGCATCTTAGTCAAATTGTACATCTTGTTAACACAAAGTACCAAGGGTGTACCGTACATCATTCTATGATACAACTCCCTTTACAATAATTTAGTACTGTACTGCACTTGAGCCTTCACTGTACTATCTCACCAAACTTGGCTCCTAGTTATGGAACATTGACCATCTGTTTCAACTTCCAATACCATAGTGAGATATCCCACTTGAACAAATCAAATGATTCCACGGGCCCTGTTGTAGCTAGATATTCTGTTTTGTGATTTTTGTGTGATAATGTTACTTTATTTGTCTAAATTATATGATGTGTATTAATATATGCATTATTTTAATACAGACTTATACAGAAACCATAAATATAAGCCAACAACTTATATGGATCTTTAAAGACATATTGCACCCACTTGGCACTTATGATCAGTACACTCACCATGACCAGTAACATTCCAAATAGTCTGGTTACATTGTAGTGGCAAGAGAAACTACAACAAATCTAACTCAAGACACCACTGAAAGACCAACTTGTTATCATGCAAAAACAGTGCCTCAAGAGTAATGAAATTCCTCTATATTGATGGCATCGCCAGTGTCCATCCTAAGCTCATGACACTGGCTTGCTAGGAACATATTGGGCATGCCAGGTTCCTTTGACTTCTCTATCCACTGGGTACAAGTATTTTTTCAAACCATCTTGCCCCTACAAGGGGGGGGGGGGGGGGAGGGAAAACAAGTGGGGACCTAAGTCCAACCCACTTCTGAGGTAAATCACCCACTCAAATTTTAAAGCAAGTCACAAAACATTCAACCTCCCTCCAAAAGATGGTTGGCATCATATGAATTGCCAAACAAAACTCTGAAACTCCTTAACATAGCACTTAATAACTAGAAGCCCCAGTGAGGCAACTATGCCACTCTTGACCTTAAGCACAACTGCTACTATGAGAAAGAAGGAACACACAGTGGGAACAGAGAGCCATTGGCACCTCAATTATTACATTTGACACACTTTTTCTGGCCAGTCCCCTCAGTGGCGCCCTTGAAATTACTCATCATGGATCTCAAAGAGAAAAAGGATAATTTCTATAAACAAAAGTAATGCCTAGATATAACTAAAGGCAAAATTTAAAATAAATGGGAGATGGGCCTTACCTCTGACAGATGAATTAAGGTATTAAGTGTAAAGGTATTAACACTTAAATATACAGTGGCACCTCGACTTACGATTGCCCCTATTTACGATAATTTCGAGTTACGATGTAAATTCCATCGAAAAATGCGACTCGACATCCGACGGTGACATCGACTTACGATATTTGTTGGTACACGTTCGGGTCGACCGAGCTCGTGGTTCCCAGTCACGCGGCCGACCTACCTCAGTTTACTACAGCTGCCCGCTTAGTGACGATATTGCGCCTATAAGAAATTTCGCTTTTGTGGTGATTTTTGCATTTTGAACATCAAAGTAATTATTATATATTACGCCATGAGTCCCAGGAAAGTCAGTAGTAAGGCTCAACATATGAAATCCCATGTAAGGATGACCATAGAGCAGAAAGAAGAGATCATTCGTAAATATGAAGATGGTGTGCGGGTTGTTGGACTGGGTAGGCAGTACAACAAATCTCAGTCAACTAACATCCACCATACTGACTAAGAAAAAGGACATTATGGGTGCTAAAGTGATGCATAATTACAGACAAATGTTAAAACGAAGGGAAAAACAAATGTCTCTTGACAAATTTGTAGTGAGACAAACAAGCACTCGACCACAACCAGGTCCTAGTGGTATTCAGGCAAAACGTAGGAGAGAGAGTATCCCAGAGAAAACATCACTGCACTGCCTGATGGGATAATGGAAGAGGACTCCCCTTCCAAACAGTAACAACTCCTCTCCTCCCCCCCTCATCACAACTTTCCATATGCCATTAAAAGCCCTCCATAGAGGTAAGATAAACTTAGGTACTGTATTGAAGTTAGAAAAAAACATTGTATTCAGTATAAAATGTATTTGTATATTAATATTTTGGAGGGTGGGAAACGGATTAATTCAAATCCCTTTATTTCTTATGGGAAAAATCGCTTCGACTTACGATATTTCGACTTACGATCCGTCTCTGGGAACGAATTAGCATCGTAAGTCGAGGCCCACACACAAAAATACATCACCTAGAATGAGGAAATCTTTAACAAAGTTGACCCTTATTAGCCCAGAGGCAGAGCAGAATCCATGGTACATATAACGACTGTAAACCCTGAAGGAGCAATTGCAAATACACTTACTTAGCTAGACCAAATATCAAAGTAACAGAAAACTGAGGTAAAACAAAAAAAGAACATAGATGAGAAATTAGAGAAACTATACATAGAAACCAGAACACAGCAAGGTCAGAAAGTCCAAAGACCAGTTCCCATCAAACACAGGACAGCACACACACCAGCACACACCAAACAAACACTGCATCAAGAGACCTCAGCAACACACACAAAAGCTTCATAAGGACAACAGTGCAAGTTGCAAAAACAAATTATATCACGACTTTGGGTGAAGTAAACAGGCAAAAATACAAAAGAGCAGGCCCATTTAACAGCCTGGTGGACCAAACTCTCACAAGTCAAGTCTGGCCTCGGGCCGGGCTTGGGAGTAGAAGAACTCCCAGAACCCCATCAACCAGGTATCAACCAGGTATGTGAAGATAGGCCAAACCTGGCACATTTGCTACACACAAAATTGAGAACATTCAAGAAAACAGAAAGCCCACAACAAACAAACTAAGCATTAGAACAGCATAAACAGCAGGAGGATACTGCATTGCAAGGCAAGAAACAAATGGTTACTACTGTATAATCATATACAGTACATGTGATGGCCTGTCAAGTATACAAAATAGTAAAAAGGCCAAGAGGCAAAACACCAAACCCTACAATAAGCAGCACACACCCCTGGCCCTAATGAGAGAGAAAGGTGGAGCTAACCAGCTCCAGGGAGGGGGAGGGAGGTGGGGGAAGAAGAAGAGGTTAGTTTCACTAAGTTTTTATTGATTGTTTTCTTCTCGTGGGAGTTCTATTGACATTTTTGGGGGATTTGGTTTCATTTTTTAAACCAAGCAGTGGTTTGTTTTGATTCACCCATATTTCTAGGTACTTTCCTTGTGATGGCAAAGATAATAACCTTTAAATGTAAAGTAATCATAGGCCATCGCTCCCTTCGCCCCTGTGAGGGGGGGGGGGACAGGTTCTGGCTTGTGGTCCCCGTTAGTCAAAAAGAATTCTGCCACTGATGACACTAAGTAGTATGACACTTAATCAGTGATGATAGCTTCAGGGAGCCAATGAGGCACCCTACAGAGAAGTCAACTAAGCAACCTATAATTTTAGGAACCAAATTGAAAGTTGACACTAAATGTTGAAGGTTTCTGGTTTCTCATTCAAGTCTATTAATATACTACTCTATAAATTATCAATATTGTATTCAACATCCTGAATGTTTCTGCTGACTAAGTTGGCAGAATATGACCCAGCAGAATAACATAGTGCATGCTGTTTTACCATGTATTGCCTCAATACAACTATATTTTACAGTACTGTGCATACAATATATTTAACATTTCATATGATAAATTTCTCTAGTTAGAAATGCATCCTATTTATCCCATACAATTTTTAATAAAATAAAATATTGTAGGCAGTATCTAAGGAAATGTATTTCCCTGCATAACAGTGGGATTCAGCTGTCCTGTATGTACTATATATTATTTAAGAGCAATTTCAATGCCAATAAGCATATAATAATAATCCAAAATGTGAACTAGTTTTGTCCTTTATTAAATACTCAATCAAAGTTATAAAATTAAGCTTATATATTACTGATTGGCTATTACAAAATGTCCTATATACATGACCTACTCACAGATTCACATGCACTGTTTGTAGCCACCACCGAACCACACCTACAAAAGTGAGAACAACAATGATAAATGATCAGGACTTGAGCACTGTGAACACTATTAATAGCTAACTTTGGTAAAATTGAAACTTACCATTTTTAAGAAAATTATATTGCATTTTAAAATGAAAATTATATTATAATTATTATAATACAGATAAAGGAAATTTTGAGCATACTCTAATCTCTCTTTCCTTTCCACAATTTTACAAACCTTTAACATATTAATCTACTTAAAAAAATATTAATAATAAAAATCTTGGTGAATTTAACCCTGAGAAAAAGTAAACTTGCCAGTTAAAGTATAATAATCCATTTCAAGGATAAAAAGAATGTTTCAACTGGGATTTTTCAACACAGCATATGCCAACATAACACAGCAGGATCCCGATCTTATGCAAGGATGTGTTCTAGGGAGGCTTCAGAAAGACTCAATTTGTGGAAAACAATGTTAAGAACTTTATGGAAAATAAAGAGACATATGCCCAGTGAATTTTGATGCTAAACAAATAAT